AATTTCTTGTCTATCCAACTTAACTATATTCTCCTATCTATTCCTAGTATTACTAAGATTGCATTTCATACATTTAGTTCTAGTCTTACTTAATCTAAAACCTTTAGTTTCTAAGAATAATCTTCATAACTCAAGTTTATAATTAATTCCACTTAATCTCTCATCAACTAAGACAATAATACAATATCATTAACAAATAACATACACCAGAGAGGTCTATCATAGAAATGATTAGTAATTTCACCCATTATCATCGTGAAAAGGTAGAGACTTAATACAGATCTTGATATAATCCAATGCTAATAAGAAACTCATTAGACACATTCCTTATAGTTCTAACACTAATAGCTACATTATTATATATATATCATTAACAACAGCAATACAATTAGTAGAAACACCTTGCTTTTCTAAAAACCACCGTAATAAATCCCTAGGAACTTTGTCATAGGCTTTCTCTATGTCAATAAAAATCATATACAAATATTTCTTTCTCTCTTTATACTTTTCCATTAATTGTCTTAATAAATAAATAACTTCTATAGTTGATCTTCCAAACATAAAACCAAATTGCTTTCCTGAGATATATATTTCAACCCTTGTCCTACTTTTAATAATTGTTCCCCAAAGTTTCATGGCTCATGATTTTAATTCCTCTATAATTTGAACAATCTTGTATGTCACTCTTATTCAAGTAAATTTGCACTAAAAAACTCTTTAGTGCCTATGTTATTATTCATCAGACATTTCCATTAAGCAAGTTGAACCAATAACACTAACTAAACACTTTGGAGATAATTTAAAGTCGCAATGATTTAATTGTTTTCTGCCTATGTTAAGACTAAAAAAGGCACAATTATGATTGTTTCTGTTCCATTTTGTCAAACCTTTCTCGTTTTTTATTTGGTATGAATAAATTGTTGGGCAGAGATTGGTGCTCAGGAAGAAAGTTTTAAATGGGGTAACCACATCTCCCTCTTCACAGGGAAAAATCTTCCATTCCAACTACAGGTTTGAAGTTCCAAATCAGCCAAACAGTAAAGAAGTAAGTGTTTCGTTTCCAAATGCAGCCAACCAAACAACATTAATGACTGTATATGCTGCACATTAATTTCTTGCAGTTGTGTGTAAATATTTCTATAGAATATATATGTCCAACCAAACAAATCCTGAAATAGAATTGGGAAGTACATAAACAGATTCTAAAATTATTTGACCATGGAGGGTGAGTTGATTTTGACCAAAGGAGTGTTTGATTGGCTCATTTGCTAATTTTTGCTTTTGAGATAACGTTGTTCCCTGAGACAAAGCATGTCATTCTCTCTTTTACACACTTTCCACGTCCAAAAGAATTTCATAAGATTCATCTTGTTTGCATTAATGTGTTGTAGCCACTAAAGAATACATTTTCACCTGTGAACTACCATCTTATATTCTCCAACAAACCACTTTATTTCCGAAAATAAACAATGCCTAGAAATGAAACACCAAGTTTGAAGGGTTAATGTGAAGGCCAGGTTGTGAAGTCTACTAAATTCTCAGTGAAGTCCTTTACATTTTGATTTTGCCCAACAATATGATAAGAAAAGGCTTGACACTGGAAACAGGACATTGTTCACATTTGAGAACAGACAATTTGGACATGCAAAACTAAAACACTGTCGCTCTCATAAAGGATTAAGCAATTCTAGTTGCATTTGAAGTTTAATCTCGCAAACAAAGATATCTACTACATTTACGTAAAACAAAGTGTTTCCAAGAAGCATCATAAAATATTAATATATTGTTATTAATTATTTAAATAAAACAGGTTCTTCCAAATGTCCAAAACCTGACCAAGAAGGATTCTACAAATATCTATCAAATACTTATCCAATATGGATACAGCAAGAATTGTTCAGTATCCATTTCCATAGCCTACCCTATATCCTCCACCCTTTTTATAATCATCTTAAATGTCCCAAATCGAAGCATTAGAAACCATTAGATGGCATTCAAAATACATGTTGATTTTCAGAAGCTTTGATGTAAATCAGTCTTTAAATTTTCATAGAATTTAAACAATCAGGTGCTTCACATGTGATGAATAATATCAGGTGCAATTGTAATACATTAACTTTAAGTTATAATGGAGTAAAATTACCAAAACACAGCACAGGGTACATTAATATAATCAGGTTTAGTTGGCTGTCCACCAAAAACAGTTTTCTGCAACACAAACAATATATCAGCAATTGTTTTGAATCTGCATCAACAAAAATTTTATCTAAAAGATCGACAATGTTATGAGCACACACAATCCACTTACAGAAAAGCAAGTTCCCTCCATTAACGCCACAGGGGTCAGATTAATTCGGTTTGTAACATCACCGACAGCCCATATGTTGGGAACTGTAGTGCGAGAATATTCGTCAACCTAGAAATGATAGCAGACAATGATAACAATTAGCAAAATTGTGACCCTATTTAGGATTCATAAGTCCGACTAACATACTTCTAGTTATTCCTACCGTTGCAGGATTGGAACTACAAGAACAATTTAAGCAAACAAAAGAAATATAAAGGATTTTAATAACTTAACTTATGAATCCAAATCCAACACTTCCACACTTAGAGAACAAAATTGTCAAACATATATTGTCTTTTAAGTCATTCATGAGAAATCAATATAAGTGGCAAAAAAAAAGTTGAAAAAACAGGTAGCAAAAATGAGTTGACAAGCAATTAACCTTAACAGCTCCTGTTTTATCAACCTCAACACCAACAGCCTGCAAATTCAACCTCTTTGTGTTTGGAAGCCGACCTGCATTTCCAGATATGACGTTAGTAGAATATGGCCACATTGATTGCAGTTTGGTCATGCTATGCCAAAGGAAACAACAGAAAAATGACTAAAAGATTCCTGAAATCCTAGTTATTAAGAGAAGCTGATTCAGGTGAAATGTTCATACTTTTTAGAACTTAGAATACATGAGTGGAACGTGAGAGAAAAGGCCAACACCTTTGCACAGGAAATAAAGAACTCATAACACTAAAAAAATGTTGTTTCCTGCTAATACTAATAGAATTGATAATTATATAATTTAAAGACATCCCCATAACACATTACAATTTCATGTGACTCTAGAAGCTGAATGATCCACTGGTGCCTTTCAATAAAATCACTGCTATTTAGTCGAGTTACAGTATGCTGACATTTCATGTAAAAAACTAAAAATTACTCTTAAACAGGCACATATTATTTTTCCAGCTTTTAGTGATATGTAAAAACAATTTCTGCACTAACACCCCCAGAAATTTGTACTGTATAGATAAGGCATTAATCAGCCCATAACTAAACTCCTTATGTAAATTATTTCCTTTTGAAGCTTCAGTTAATATCCCAGATATTATGTGGCTAACAGATCACATTTAGATGTCATATTATCTGCAAAAACATGTAATGTCACATTAAGGACAACTTATGCATTTCCACAATTTGAGACACTAAATTTATCACACAATATGCATAATACATGAAGACTACATCTTCAAAACACTGCAACAAGTATAGAAGTATGACAAACTTTATTCTGCTTGCATAGCTGTATCCCTGCATAATCCTGCAGCAACTACACTGAAATTTAACCTTATATACACATGGATTTACAAAATGCTTAGGCATTAAGCCGTCTTTATGTGAACAAAATCACTCTTCAGATTAGAACAAAGTTGATCCTTGTTGATGCAGACAAAACAAGAGTTGCAAATCACCATATAATCTATACTGCAGAAATGCTGGTAAACTTCCAAAGAGGAACAAAAGAATGGATCAAAATATATGCATGCTAAGGAAAGTTGCTCATAATTGAACCAGGCAATAAATGTCAGGAAAACCCTATCACTGATAATAGGTTCATACTACTATGGGCTTTTAATTTAATACAGACTAAAGGATGCTTTTTCAGAGAAAAGGCAAAAGGATGGTAAGTGTTCTCATCATACAAATAAAATGCAGTTGTCCAAAGAGTTCAGTGGGAGATGAAGTTTCTAAATCACTCTCTCATATCTATTTCAGGTGATTCAGAATCATATCATTAATTCAATTCCCACAAAATGTTGAGATTGGCTTTTGTGTTCTTATCCTCCAATATATACATTGTGATTATGAATGTTGGACAGTGGCTTACCTGTTGCAAATAAGACAACATCTGTTGTAATTTGATCTCCATGGTCAGTCAGAACTCTTATGCCATCTCCACTTTGCCGCAACTGATATAGATAGTAGGAGAAAGTTTAGCAACTTCTGGGAGACATAATGATGCAAAAGCGGTACGAGAAAACTGGTAAAGTAATCCTTCAATTAATTGAACCTCTGACAAATTTGTTCCTGGGTGCAACCGTATGCCCCTTCCTTCGAGGTTTTTTGCAACAACTGCTCTCATTTCATCATCAAAGCCCCTGCAATAAGGAGAATTGAGAAGTTAAATGCTACAAGATCACAAGAGCAAATGATACATCAATTTAGATACAGCAAACAACAGAACAATTAATAAGAAGTTCTATCAAGTACAAAGGCATTTCAGGAATTTGATGGTTGTCATACCAACAGAATACAGGTCTACAATCTGTTTAACCAATTAAGAACAACCAATTATATCAATGCTATTAGAAAAGGTTTACATTTTTATCACCTCAAACATTACAACATGTATACTATGTGATTTATAAAGCAACAAAAAAAAGGTTGAATAGGAATGTTGTTTAGATGTTAAAAGGGTACAAAGTACATTTAGGATTCCTAACAAACAATACATGAATTTATGTTCTAGATGGGCCCAAATATACATTCCGGAGTTATTTACCTCAAAAATCTGAATGAAAAAAAAAGTAGTAGCAGTTTTTGTCTTATGTTTAGTTTAATGGCTGTATGGTAGTGATGAAGGGCAGCCTACAATCAAATAACATTCAATACTGTATTTGTGGACATCGGGTGTATACCTCCAGTTGGATAATATCCAACGCTTTCAAGATAATTAAATTCTGCTTGCTCCTTTCTTTTTGAATATTAAAAATGAATGTGTTCATTTTTCTGGTGTCTTCTTCCACACGACTGTATTACAATTCTAATGTAATTCCATAAAAGTTTACATATGCTTGAGGTCGATCAGTTTGATATGGTTGATACTGGAAACTACACTTAAGAGGTGATTCACCTCAGGTGATATCTTTTACAGTCAACATTGTCCAAAACCTGTGAAGAACTTGTTCATGTCTCTATCAAAAGTTCTCTGTTTCAAACTATATCTAAAATTTTCCATTAGTGCTATAAAAATTCAAATGAACTGCCTAGTTAGTGGTCAGAACATTGTCAAAAGCATATCAAATCTACTTAAATAAAAAAAAAATCAGGTAAGCAACCAAAAAAAAGGCACATAAGTGAATTCTAAATGCCACCTTAATGGAAGTTCCTTCCGGTAAAATAGATCCACTTCTGCACCCATTCCTCGCCATATTGAAGCAAATTCAACGGCAATATATCTGCAGCACATATGGATCAAATTGGCAGCCCTAGGAAAATATTTCTATGTATTAAATGTATCACAGGGGCATATCCACACACCCTCCACCAAGTATCACGGCACGTTTTGGTAACTCATCTAAGCTTAATGCCTCATCAGAAGTAATAGCCAATTCCTGATATGGAAACATGAAATTAGGATGTATTGGCAAAGAATAAAACTCTAGAAGGATTAGAGTATACTTTACATGTTCAAAGGATGTCAAAAATTTAAAACCAAGTACAGTAATTTGAAATAACAGAAACAAATTAATGGCAAAAAGATCGGTGAAAACTGAGCAGTTCAAAGTCACATGTAACATCCATTAAGTCCTACATATAATTAAATTCAAATGCAAACGATCCAATTAAATTCAAATAGCAGAAGGCATACAAGACGGATTTCATCTCCACTTTATAAAACTCATATTCAAAATCAGATAACTTCTTCGAATAGAAAATAAATCATATAACTCTGGTGAAAATATATGATCAAAAAATAATTACCAGACTTGCACAAGTATGACGAGAGATCCAATGGATTGTGATAAAACAATATTTATCAAAATTGAAAGAGTAAGAAGAAAGATCCATGAATCAAGATTCTAAATTACATTAATAGCAAGAATTTGCCAAAACATTTTTTAATATTTCTTTCTGAATAGAAAAAACATTCAGAGTTCTTAGTTCTTACTACAAGTTAAAATAAAGTCATCAAAAATATGACAGAAGAATGATGAATAGTTGAAAGAAACCTTGAAAAAATAAGTACTCATAAAATGAGATCTAAAGAAAGGCATTGCACAGGCAAAAAATATTATGTTTATTGAAAACAATTTAAGCATATAGAGTAAAGCTAACCATGACCAGCAGTTAACATGTTGCTATAGTTGATTCAAGTAAATTCAATTCATTCCACAAAATCCCAAACCATTAAGACCATTTTCCTCAAATGCATTTTTGTTTAGCATTGATCATCTTGTAACAAAATTACCAAGAGTAAAAAAATCATGAAGAGCATTTAATGGGCTTACATGCTCGATAACCTAAAAAATTTATTCTCGTCCTCTCTGCATTAGTACAGTTTATGATAACACATATAGTGATATATCAATGCAAGACACAAGCATTAAAACTTGTATATCCACAAACCGAAAAAGCTCAATTACAGCATTAGAGAACTGAGAACCAACAATGTTAAAATATTTGTACAACCCTAAAAATAATTAACATTATGAAAATCTTAAGAACACTAATCTTGAAAATTGAAATACATGGTCGCCCATTACCCATATTCAGTGAAAAGATGTTTAAATCAAGGTATATACATATATATATATATACATATATATATATATACATATATACCAGTGATTTAAAAAGCGCTAGGCGCCAAAAGGCGCCAAGGTCCAAAAACGCCCGAGGCGCTAGGCGCTCGCCCAGGCGCTCGCCCGAACGAAGCGAGGCGCTAAAATATAAAAATATAAAATATAATTAATAAATATAATTATTTAAAATTTTAAATAAAAATATAAAAAATATAATATAATTAATAAATATAATCACATTAACAGTATAAACCTGCTGACGGAGAAACGAGGAAGCAGCGGCGAGCAGCGGCGGCGAGCGGCGGCAGCAGCAGCGGCAGTAACAGCAGCAGCGGCGAGCGGCGGCAGCAGCAGCGGGAAAGGGAAAGGGAGCGGAAGGCGCGAGCAGCGGGAGGCCTCGAGGGAGGCGCGAGCAGCGGGAAGGCTCGCGGGAGGGCTCGAAGGAGGCGA